CAGAGTAGTAATACAAATCCACTTGGGAGGAGCCCTTGGGTTGTCCAGGAATGAGTGGTGCTGAGTCCAGCTCACTCACGTCACGCTCTATAAAAGGGCCCAGAGGCCTCCATGGCCAATAAAATTCTCCTGTAGGAATTATATTCTGCTCCTGCATTCATCTGAAGCTGTGAACAGCATCCAACTTAATCTCTGTCCTGTCAACCTTTCCAGCCCAAGGCTGCTTCTCAGTTCATATCATCACTTTGAGAAGTGAACTGGCACCCAGGAAGCAGGATTGCCCCTCTTAATGTTCACAGATGTCCCTAAAATAACTAGCACATTTTCTGTAGCTGAAAAAGCTATCAACTCTCCTTGAGGCATAATAAGTGATATGACTGAACTTTCCACTTGTCCCATATTAGAAGGCATATTGTTATTTCCTTTTTTAAAGACAGCCCCATCAAACCTGCTGACATATCAATAATGACCACAATCACCACATAATAATCATAATCATAATAATATACCTTTAACACCATCAAACAACTACATCTCCTTATCCCAGGTCCCTGGGAAGGACTTGATAGGTGGATAAAAATGCCAAATCCAGTCTAAACAATTGGCTGACTGTCCAACCAATAATAATAATTGTTATTTCTAATCTACTCACAGCTGAAGGTCTTCGAGCAAATTAAAATGGGGAGGTTTTTTGCTGGTATTCTTAAGCTTAATCTTAGTTGCTCACTGAAACTATTCAGGTGCCAGTTCAGGCCAAGGAAATATTGAATTTTTTCTCCAATTGTTTCCCTACTAATCCATCATCATAATATCAAACCTGTCTATTTTACTGTGGTAAATCATTATGTAGTATAGTCATTTTTCCTTTGGGGCAGCATTGGCAATATGCAATTTAATTTGATCAATGGCAAAGGCAGGGCTTAATTTCAGTAATTATAAATTATTATTTTCAGCATAGAAAGAGCCAGAGTTCCTGCATTTTTCCATATTGATTTCTGAACACAGTTCATTTTGTTAATTTCTTTTGTATCTTCCTCTGCTTCTTCTACATTTTAATTGACTCTTTCCCCCCAATTAGAGTACTATCTTTTTGTTCACATTAGACCTTGAATTCTCGCTTGCCACACATGTGCACACACGCACACGCACACAATAATATACATACATGAATTTTAGGGCTAAGTAAAGACTTAGTCACCCTTAAAAACCAAAGCAGCCTTGGAATCTGCAAGAGACAAACATCGGGAGAGAGAAGGAAAGCTTAGTCATCTGCTCACCAATAGCTTCTCTGTTCCAAATTGCATTCTCCAGCCTCATCATTCAAGAGTTTGTGCTGCAAAGGGTATACTAGGGAGGAGAAGCAAGCTCTGCATTTTGCACTGGGGAGGGATGGAGAATCTGGAGCAAAGAAATTATAGGTGGGAGAAATGTACAGAAGTACTCCACCATTGCCATAATGCCCTTGGAATTTCAACAGGCTTTCATTTGGGGTCATTAATCAATTTGCACTTTCTCAATACATCGTCTGCCCTACAATTAAGTAGATTATTAACCCCTAATCTCTGCCAGAGTACACCATATCAACCCTTTCAAATTAAAAAAAAGTGTGTTAGAGAAGCAGTGGGGGCAGTGATATCTATGTGTGTCCCATGTTCAAATGTCACATAGTGTTCTGGAAAGTTCTTCAGCAGAAGTCTGATATCACAAAGCAAATGAACAGATCTTGCTCAGCTTCAGTCTCTCCTAAATGCAATAATCCTCCATTGTTTCACAAACATCTGATTAACTTTCTCCTAGTAGCTGCTGTATAAATGGAGATAACCTCTTGGAAATCTAGTTTTGCATTATTTAAATGGCTAACTTGTATGTCCGATTCTTCTGTTTTAGAGAAGCTGATGCAGAGTATGCAAAAACTGAAGGGAACTGAGCAATATGATATGTTTTCTGACACTTGCTTCCCTTTTATTATTTTCATTTCAACAAACCAATCCTTGCCACCCCCTGGGCACTGACATCTTTTTGAAAAGTGTCAAAGTGAGTTTTGCAAATAATAAGGCTAATGGGTGGCTTCATGTTTTTTTCCCTGTATGCGTATACTTAGAGCAACTAGATTAAGACACATGGGTTTATCTGTTTTGGTCTCCATATATTATTATAGTATGGAGCTAAACATATTTTCCTCTTCTAAACTGTATCATACCTACAAAGATCAGAATAGTGCAAGCCATGGTATTCCCTGTGACACCCTATGGAAGTGAAAGTTGGAGTTTGAAGAAGAAGGGTAAAAAGAGTATTGATGCTTTTGAACTTTGGTGTTGGAGAAGACACCTGAGAATCCTATGGACAGCCAAGAAAACAAACAAATGGATCATCGAACAAATCAATCCAGAGTTCTCACTAGAGGCACAAATGACCGTGCTCAAATTATCCTACTTCCAGCACTGTATGCAAAGGCCTTGGTCTTTGGAGAAGACTCTAATGCTGGGAAAGTTGGAAAGAAAGAGAAGATGACCAGCAGTAAGATAGATGGACCCAATTACAGCAGTGATGGGTGCACCATTGAAAGACCTGAAAGACTAGGTTACGGATAGATTTTCCCCATGATTATCTATGTGGTTGCTAAGAGCCTACACCAACTGCGGGCCTTTAATTGATCAATCAGTCAGTCAATCAAAACTTATAGGTATATGCACATACATTTGTCTATGCTTTACTTTTGTATCGTTTAAAAGCCTGAAAATCAGTAAAAGAGATTTGCTTTACTTTGTTGTTTTACTTTGTTTATAAAAGAAAACAAGCTCCCCTTTTCATTGGCATCTGCAGGCTCTCACTGCTTTGTATCAGTCTGATAAAAGCAGCATCGCATTGCAAGCGATGTTGGGTAAGTTTTGGGTATGCGTGCGATGTTGCAGTGCACGCAGAAAAGGGGTGGGGCTTGCAGTGCAACGTTGCAACACTGCTGCCATCACTCTGACCCTGTTGCCTCCCCCGGATGCCACTCCCTTGTCTGCTTCTCAATTCCTTGCACATGCCCAGTTGTTTTTATCTGAAGAAAGTACCTTTATGAATCACTTTCACACGCATTCAGCCCTTCTTTGAGTACTAGCACAACAAAAGGTTTTAATGTGCTCATATCCCAGCATGCCTTGAAGATTTTTTTCCCAGTGTGACTTCTTGAAATATCTCAACCTGTTTAGAAGCTATTATTTTGCATTCAACATAGAGTGGAACAATGGATCCAATGCAGTGAAGCATGTTTCACTGATATATTTATTGCAGGGGCATCTATGTGGGGGTCAAAAAAGCCAATATGGTGGCTGCAACTATGAAAATGAAGGTCCATCCCTTTTTAACAAGCCTTGTTTAAGCTGGTGTCCTCCAGATGTGTTATACAGGTACTAGAAATTCTGATGAAACTGCATCCTGTGTTCTTGAATGAGCTCGCCCAGTGGTTTCATGCAGATGTTAAAGAGGAGTGATGAAAAACCCGAGCCATGAGGCACCCCACACCACAGGGGCCTAGAGCTAGACCTCTCCCCCTGCAACACCAACTGGAACTGACCATGGGGGAAGGAGGAGAACCACTACAAAACAGTGCCTCCTACTCCCAATCCCCAGAGCCAGTCCAGAAGGATACCATGGCCAATGGTACTGAACGCTGCCAGAAGATCCAGGAGGGCCAAGACAGTTGCACCATTTCTGTCCAGAGCCACTAGAGGTCATCCACAAGTGCCACCAGTGCCATCTCAGTAGTGTACTCCAGCCTGAACCCAGACTGAAAAGGGTCCAGATAAGGACACTGGATTAAAGAAGCCTAAAGTAAGCATATATAATTGCTCCAATCATTTGGCTCAAACCAGCAAGGATGAAGACAGGTGTAGCATTTTAACAATGGCTACAACAGGCCTTTTGCCCATAGTGCCATTTCAGCTTTGCAACTATCATTATTGGTGGACAACTAGTGAATTCCATGCTGGATCCTCTATCAGTCATGTTCCTTTTCCACACTTCAGGTGGGCTATCTGTCTTTAAAAAAAAAATTAGAGTATCATGCCTTTGCTTACATATATATACCTGTTATCTGGAACAGGAGCTGGCATTCTAACAGTTATTAGCTAATAGGTACCTCTGGCTGTTTTAGAATCAGTCATAGTGAAAACCTGGGGCATATTTTTCAGGGCTAGGCATTGAACAAAAGAAAAGTATAATTGCACTGAAAACTTGTGCTGTTATTAATTATTTTAACAAAAGGATTTATCTGCAAAAGAAGATTTGTTTGTATTCATTGCACTGAATACATTCACCGTTTTAAATATGCTTGTTTTCACTCAAATGCATTCCAGAAGTTCTCTCACAAAATATCAATAAAAGCCTCCAAGAAGAGCCTTTGTTCTGTTTCTTATAAGCTTAGGGATCCAGGAAATGTTCCACAACCTTGGCTTCAGCACAAACAAGAAGCTTCCCTCTGCTTAATATCATCATCCTGGACAAAGAGAAACAAGCAGAGCTTTTCTAGCTGATCTTAATAGAAAGAAGAGGGGATTTGGGGAGAAATACTGGTTGTCTTACGAAATGTGGGAAGCTACCTAAAGTAAGTGAAATCATTATAACAGGTAAGTGAAATAGTAAGTGAAATCATTACAACAGGCACACAATGGCCAGTGGCTCCCCAGAGAAGCCCACTTTTGTTCCTTTATCAGGTCCTTTAACTGTAGATGCTTCAGATCGATCCTTTTGCCCCATACATACAATGCTTGCACTCTACCAAGAGTTGTATCTTCTCCCAGATATCTGTATCTGGGTAACAGTTCTCAGAACAGAAAAAGCTGCCTTCCCTTAGACCAGAAATGGAGAAACTGGTCCCCCATCTGTATTAACCAGGAGCTGGGATTGTTAGGTGGGAGGTAGAAACCAAGATCTGGATTGCACAGCTTCCTCATCACCCCTCCATGATGTGCACAACAGGATGAGATATGGAATATATTCTGAACAACACTTACTTGAAGCAGTCAGGATACTCTGCAAGGGCCACGTCAATTACATCCAAAGCATGTTGGTAGTGCTTTTGTGATGAAAAAAGGAGGGCCAACAAATGAAGAGAATTCATATCATCCTTACACAGTTTCAGTGCTTCTTGAAGGTGTTCTATCGCATCACAGATCTGGAAAATAAATATTAAATGATTGGTCTGTTATTCATCCTTTCAGATCAGTTTCATTTTTCTGGCCCTTTGACTACAACAAAATAAAAGGAGTCCCAAGGCTAAAATATCAGCAAAGGCAGAGTTTTTAAAACCTAACTGCAAGGAGTAAACCAATTGAACTCCACAGCAGGAACATTAAAATATTATTATAGGATCTTAAAATCCTATAAAAGAACACTTCAGGTAAGCTTGCTTACATTTAAATAGTAGCAGGTGGCCAGTATTTTGGAAGCTGTCAAAGGAAAAAAAGGAAGGAAGGAGGTTATTATTTAACTAATCTCTTAATCTTGTTATCTTCTTAATTTAACGATGACTTGCATGCATAACTATAAACTAAGGGTCACCTACTTGACATTTATTTATTAATTTACTGAACTTATATCCTACTGCATTCAAATGAATCTTGGCAGATTACAAGGTATACAACACAATAGCAATGAAAATATCAATAGTAAAAATTCCAACATAAATGACAAGAAAAATAGTTAAAAAAACAAACAAACCACAATAGCTCAATGCAGTAAATCAAGAATATGCTGTCCAAAATAATTCAAAGCCGAATTGGGGGCAAGTTGGGGGGAGGCCATTTCAAAGCAACAATGCTGCCACCAGAAAGCTGCACTGCCTACCCACAGCTCCCTCACATCCAGGAAGTACAGGACCACTAGCAACTGTTCCTTAGAAATCTAATGAACCAGGACAATTTTGGCTGAGCAGGCAGTGCTATAGATAGCCAGATGCCAAGGCATGAAGAGCTTCATTGGTCAACACCAGCATTCTGGACCACTTGCAATTTCCAAATAGTCTTTAAGGCTGCTCTCATCTCCCAACAGCCAGGAGGGGCATGTAGCAGACAACAACCTAGACAGTATGATGTCTACTTCTTTGGAGGTCCAAACCAAATGGAGTCCCACATGAAGTCAAGGTTTCAGTGAATCTGAGTGAAGTGCTGTGCAAATTGGTTGCAGCAACCAGATGGGAGTTCTTCATGTTGCCCCTTTCCCAGCTAGTTACTCTAAATAAGGCTGCTGGATGACAGTCCACTGATGAATAAGGGAGAAGTAAGCATGTTTCACTTCTCTTATCAACATGGTATGGGACCAGATATGATGAAGATCTTGCTCCCTTCTTTATATTTTCAACACTGAGAAATGTTCACATAACAGCACAACATGCCCTGTTTTAATATGACCTGCTCCTCCATAGAAGAGCAAACAGGGGCCTCTCATTATTTATCTACCCAGACATAGGCCAGGATTATATCTGATTAACACTGATAATGTAACAGCATCCTATGCCTTCAAATCATTCTAAACCCAGAGATTGGTATGGAACTCCAGGATATAGTTAACAACTGAAGCTAAGAAAATTAACCTCTGAGCCCTGAGAAGGAGGCCTTCCAGGACCTGTACAGAATCTGCTTGTAATGTATAAATATGGCATTTAAGTTATTTCAATCATATACTAGGGCTAAGCACAACTGGAGAAAAATAAAACTGCTGTGAAAAATTTCACACCAAACCAAGATACACCAGGCATTCCTACACATTTACTCAGAAGCAAACTCAGTGAGGCTTAGTCCCATGGAAGTGTGCATAAGACTAGAGCCTTAGACTCCATTAGATTCCATCAGCAGCAAAGTGAAGTTGGTTTGTTCACTACTAAACAACAGAACACCTTGATGGCACTGTAGCAGAATGTTTTTACAGTCCAAATTTCCAGACAGTAGAATCTTGACTCTGTAATGAATAGAAAGCTGCCTTTGGGTATATGTGGCTTGATATTTTATCTTTTAGCTGCCTAAAGAAAATTCTCTAAGAAAATCTTCCCCATTTGTTACTGATAGTGAATCTTAGCACTATCTACAAAGCACCAAGTCCAATTCATATTCTCCAAAATATGGAATTCTTCATAAACTAAGGTGCTAGACTCCATTTACATTATGGTTTCACTAATACTCCAGTTGCTATTATTATCATTGTAGTCATGTTTCATATCACATTTGTTCACACAAGCACATCATAATAACTATATGGATAAGATGAGATTTAATCCAGACAATAATAATTGGTTTTAGATGAAGACGCACTCCCTTGACTGTCCAAGCACTGTATGGAAGATCAGATGGTGACTGGAATCAAAAGCACTTTTTACTTGATTAAGCTCTGAATGGAGAAGCCAGATCTTGCCTTTGTTATTCACACACCAGTGCTCTCCAGGATGACCTGCTATTCCACGGGAGGCTGCCTGCTAGCTAAAATTTCTTTGAAAACTTTGTTGCAAAATAAAAGTGATTGAGTTCTGATGGTGACACTATGTGCTACCTACATTGCACCAGTTGCTGTAAATATCCAGGCCAGATTTAAACAGTTAATACAGATTACTAAAACCCTACTACCAATTTGGGACCAATTTCTTTGAAGGACTGATCTCACCACATCAGCCTGCCTATATTCCTGGAGCAATGGCCAAAGCCTGACTTGCTTACCCTCCTGAGAACAATTTGTTGGCGATATGTGAGAGGACCTTTTTAGCTGCACTTCCACATTTGTGAGAATAGTTTTTTGATGGATTCATTATGTGCTATCAAGTTGTTGTTGACTCTTAGCAATCACATATATAGATTTTCTCTATGACGATCTGTCCCTGACCTTGTCTTTCAGATCTTCCAATGGTGCATTCATCACCATTGTAACTGAGTCCATCCATCTTCCTGCTGGTTGTCCTCTTCTCTTTCTTTCCACCTTTCCCAGCAATAGAGCCCTCTTCAGAGTCCAGGGTCTTTGCATAATATATCTGAAGTAGGATAATTTGAGCCT